CCAAATTAGTCCAGACGGAACCACTTTCCAAGTCGCTCCAACCTTCACAAAAAATGTTTTAAGAATATCTCCTTCTCCTATGTGCTTTTACCCCTTATCCTAACCCCTAACCCTAACCCCTAACCCTAACCCTCTTCTGGAGGAATGATTTGGGCCTCCACACTTGGTGAAATTTTCACTACTGACTGTCCCATTCGCTTATAATGGGTAATGTTCTTTCCTGAATATCTCAGGGACCAAATGTCATAGCTTCCAGGCACTGCCACCAACAGAAAGAGCACCCCTGAAAATGGGGGGGTAGCCAAAGTCCCGAGTCTCTGGCACCCCGGGATATAGCGTGTCCGCAGAGCCGGACGCGGACATGCTTGGCTATTATCCCCTTACCTGAACCGAACCCTAAAGCCGTTACGCCTTGCACCATATGTGCTGACGCCACACACGTGATGCTCAGAGTGGGCCCAGTTGATTGCAATGTACACAGTGGTGGCGTAGCTTGCACCGGGCAAAGAAATCCTCCATTTCCTAGTCTCCCCTCTGAAATACAACAACAGAATGAAACACAACAATACAATTAAATACTTGTACTACAACTAATGGTAACTGTACTGATGACATGATGGTCGTGTAATTGTTACCAACAGTATGTAATAATAACAGTATATAATGATAACATTTATAATATATTCAGGAGGAATGATTTTCACCTCCACACTTGGGGAAATTTTTACTTCTGACCGCTCCATTCGCTTTTAATGGGGAGTCGTTTTTCGCCAATATCTCTGGAACCGTAGGTCGTAGAGACTTGGAACCACAATCTGTCAGACATAATTTGACCATGCTGAACACGCCAGTGTTTCCTGAATGTCTCAGGGACCAAAGGTCGTAGCTGCCAGGCACTGCCACCAACAGAAAGAGCACCCCTGAAAATGCCAAAGTCCTGAGTCTCTGGCACCCCCGGAAATAGCGTGACCGCAGAGCCGGACGCGGACACGGTTGGCTATTATCCCCTTACACTAACCCTAACCCAACCCCCCCAACCCTAACCAAATGAATCCTGTAGCACTAACCCTAACCAGTTCATCCTTATCCTAGCCTTAAACCGAATCAGATTACAACTAAATCTTAAACCAGTAAATTCTAAATTAACATTTTCTTAGATTATATAACAAAATTAGTTGAACACACCTCAGGGCTTGATCAACCCTAGCGGGGCCTCCCTTGGGTGAGGGTGTCTAGTGATAATGGCCAAAACACCCAATGATCCTGAGGTCCACTACTGACGATGTGTTCAATAAAATAGTATCAGGAACCTATAATTAACAAATACATTCAAACTAGAGCATCGAATAATAGTAATAATAATAAAAATAATTTTAAATCAAAAACTGAATAAAACATTTCTTCTTTAAAGCCAGCTCGGCCAGGGGATATGTGAGAATGGAGAGTATTGACAACGTGCGTGGGCCAGTGTATCGCCTTTGGCACCCCATCTCAACTGCTCAGTCGTTGGATGACGCAGGGGAGTCATCGAGAACTTGATAAACCTTACCCTAACCCTTAGAAATTCAAAGTAAATGAAACATGAAATAACAGAACAGAAATAAAGAGAAACCAACACATACACAGTCAGTGGTTATATATTAAGTGAATATATATTCACACCATCATATATGTATATTTTTTTAATTACAAGGAACAATATTGTTCCTTTATTAGACATTTTGCACGTACAAAAAGAGGATTCAGATTTTAACACCTTACACTTGGGAATGGAAATACAGAATGGAAATACACATCTGAATTTTTTCACTTCTCAGTGACACCTTCAGCCAATCACAGCTGAGTTGTGACATCAGAAGCGGGACCAAGGTGCTGCGGCCAGCTCGCTCCTGCCTATTTTAAGGTCATGTGACCTGGTGACGTTTTGCAGCACTGAAAGAAGGCAGACAAAAATTGTAACCATCATGCATTGTGTTAAGACCAGCATGCATCACGTTATGTGGACATTACAGAGCTGCATGAAGTCGAATGCACCTAATGAGTAACAATGACCTTTAACCTTGAAATCTTTGACAGTGAAATCAAAGTTTGATGAGAACATACATGATGACGTGTTCAGTTACTTAAAGGAAAGATCATGCATGTAACATGTATCACAGGAACACTGTTTACTTCAGGAAAACTGTCAGATCGGTTGTGTTTTATGCAACATATATGTTTATACACGCAGGCATGTGCCTTCATCAAACCCTTTTTCTTTCTACGCGAAAATGTTTCACAAAAAGGTGCTTCCAGGTTCTGCAGCTGGACAACATCTGTCTGACTGCGACCATCTTACTCTTTTGACATTTTTTACACATTTACATTCAGCAGCGCTGGAGAAGTCAGACAAAATGTCTACCCAGCATGCATTGCTTTAAGTCAGTGCTGTGCCGTGGAACATTTCACTTTGTTTCACTGACATGTCAGAGGTTACCTGAGTGACTTTAGTTCAAGTGTCCTGCTTTCTGATTGGCTCTTCTGATGATGTTTTAAAATAAAAAATAAAAAACGGTTTCCACAGAATCAATCGAGTTTATTTTTACTTTAACAAATAAACTTAAATGATCAGATGAAAACTGAAAAAATCAATTATCAATAACATTTGACTGAAGGCTTCATGTTTCTGATACAAAAACTTGAAATAAAAAAGTTTCAGCAGCAAAAGTCATCTGAGGTGATGTCACTGGTGATGTCAAATGTAGAGGGGATGGTACTGGCGGTGGGTGAGTCTCTTCCTGCAGGTCGGACACGTGTGTGATGATGTCAGAGCGTCTCTCAAACACTGACTGCAGAACACGTGACCACATTTAGTGGAAACAACCAATCGGCCGCTGTCTACAATCTGTGGAGGATATAACCAATCAGAACTCAAGATTCTTCATGCTGTTCAGGTAAGTAACAGGTTTGTTGGGCCCACGATATACTTGCTGTCCAACGACGCATATGCACAGACAACCGGTTGCATCAGGAACGTTATTGTKCATGTACTCGCTTAGATACCACATGTTACTGGACAATTCCAGTAGAGGGCGGAGTGTTCCGCTCTATAATCTTTTAGTCAGACCTTTCTGCTACTTTTTGATTTGTGAACATCTGTCTGGAGGAACCCTACGAGATCAACATTTTGTGATAGAATGGTAGAATCAAGACAGATTTTCACTTCACACAAATTGATATAATTCTGGACCTGGTCACAGCTCGTCTTCAAACCTCTCCGACGACCCCGTCAAGGACTCACTACTGCCCTGAACTTTATGTAGGTACTGAATCTTACCTATCTGATGCATTAATTTCTATTGACGAGCACAACCAATGCATTTAAAGGACACAGGTTACATGAAGCAGCCGTCTTACATAAGCGTACCCGTCGTTAACTGCAAGTATGTTACCCAACGTCTCACCTCAGAGTACGAGTCCAGACATACAGGACAACTGATCGTCCCCGGAGTCGACCTGAAACGAACAGCTTCTGTCAGTAAGGATGAGACTAATACCTGGCTCTGATACAAAGACAATGTAATCATGGATTAGTCCAATACCTGGCTCTGAACAAACATAATGTAATGGATAGGTCTAATACCTGGCTCTGAATAAAGACAATATAATGATGGCTCAGTCTAACACCTGGCTTTGATACAAAGATAATGTAATGATGGATACGTCTAATACCTGGAGGTGTGCACAGAGGACATAGTGGCAGCGTTGAGGACAGGGGCCGTGTCTTCGTCTTCATCACTGCTGACGATATAACTCTCCCCTGCAGGGACTCTCCTGTTGTGAGGACCTGATGGAAGACACCAAAGATGCTGTAATGTCCCTGTTGTTAAAGTGTAGAAGAACATGTCAGTAAATTCACAACAAAACAGATTTTACCTTCGTCCACCAGCTGGAAGAAAAAAGAAGCAAGAATCAACACGTAACAATCACTTAATGATTTTTTGCATTATTAGATTATTGACACTAATCTGAAGGAAGAAAGACTGACTGACTCCTTGACTGACTGAATAATTGGCTTGTTGTTACCAGCACTGAGTCATTGTTTGTGAGGTCAACCACAGCAGCTTCTGATCCTTCACAGGTCAGATCCACCACCTCCTCCACACCTGAACACACCAGTTATTGATTAATTCATCAGCTATTGGTTAATATATCAGTTACTACAAACTCCTTCATCAGATGTTATCTGTGGCAGTATTGATCTGTACTCACTGTCCTCAGTGTTGTCCATCACATCAATGGTCTCTGTGGAGGGAGAAGTGTCACCATCAGGTGTCCTGCTAACATTAGCCATCCTGCTAGCCACTCTGTTAGCGTTAGCTGCTCTGCTGTTTTTGGTGCTGGGTCGGGAACCAACAGGGCTTTCTGTGCTCCTCCTCTTCCTGTGAGCCTGAAAAGGTGACGACATCACACTAGAGGGCGGGGTTTATCCACTAGAACAGTTACTGCTGATTGGTCATCATATCTGATTCCTCATTTGAAACAAAACTGTTTGAATGAACAACCACTCACTTTCCAATCAGTAATGAAAGTTCAATCAATAATACAGGAGTCAAGTGATTTCAATGGCTGTGGCTCAGGGGATTGATCGGGTCGCCCACAAACCACAAGGACAGTGGTTCAATCACAGTCTCCCCCTTTCTGTGTCTTTAATAGGGCTGCACGATATATATCAAAAATGTATCGTCAGTGTGATATCAAGATGTGTGATATACACAGGCTCTATGATGGCATCACTGTGATGACATCACAGTCTTGATGATGATGTCACAGTTGTGCTGATGTCAGGGTAGTAATTTATTTAAGTGAATTAATGAAACATGTTCATCAGAAAATAAGAAAACTCACAGAACTGCTCATGTCATTAGAGGCACACGGACGCTATGGATACCAGGATTCTGAGGACACTAAGGACACCAGGACACTGAGGAGACGCTGAGGAGACCAGGATGCTAAGGACAGAAACTGACACATCAGATACTCATCAAATTAAACTGATCAGATTCATTCAAACAGCACCTTCAGATGATTGATTAATGATCAAGTGCCATCAGTTAGCACCAGTTAGCCTGAGGCTAAAGGCACATTTAAGCTCAACGTTACATTCATGTAAACTGACAGTCTTCTATTTGTACTCTGGATTCATTTTGTTTGTATATTTGCTAAATTAAACTTACAGATACAAAACAAATAGCCGATAGTTCGAATGAGATGACCAGTGTTGCCACTTATAGAATAATTATCATATTTGTTCAAAATGTCCCCCTCTTTACGATCAATAATGTACGATCATTTTCCTCAAATTACAATAATTTGAAGCTTCTGGTAAGATACTTCTACATTTCCCATCTGGCAACGCTGCAACCATGAGACATGAGGAACAATTGTCAACAATGATGAAACTTTTAGAGGACAAGAAACTACAGGATCAGTAAGACGAGACGAAGAAGAGGAAGTAGGAACTTCTTCACAACCTCCTCGTCATTTGTTGTTGTCGTCACAAACTCTGCCCTCTACTGGATGTATTGTTTAATGCCAACGTAAAGGACCTATGTTAGCATGTGGGCAGTGGCGGGGCATCGTTTAAACTAAAGGAGCGCTTACACTTGAACTGTTTCAATAAAACTTGCTCTCGTAGCGTAGCTGATGTAAGCTAGTGTGCTGTGCTAACATCGGTCGCTATTTAAAACGTTTTCGTGTTGAATAAACACATGAACTGAGCTAAAATGAGTCAGAGTTTGGACGGAAACAGTTTTGAACACAAGCCTGAAGCAGTAGTTAGTCGTTAGCTTACCGAGCTCCCCTCAGTGGACAGGTGAGACGACACAGGAAGCAGCTGCAGGTTTAATCTCACGATCTGACAACAAACATTTACTCCCGCCGATCAGCTGATGCTAATATTAGCCGCTACCGCCGCCGCTTCCGGAACTACTTCTTCTCTCACATAAATGATACTTACAGCAACGTTGGCGCCCCCTGCTGCCTGTAAGCCTGAAGTACAGGTTCAGATTCACAGCAGATCCTCAAATTCATGTTTTTATCAATTAACAAAGATTCATGTTTTTATTCATAAACAAAGATTCATGTTTTATCACTTAAAAAAGATGATTCAT